TGTCAAATGCATCTCCATGTCAAATGATTTTTTTTCCTCTTTAGTTTGGTGGCATAGTAGGCTACCCTGACTGATTTTCATGTGTTAAGCCCGCATTCCAAACTCAAATAACCTCATCTGGTCTTGATCCATAATTTGTTTTATACATTGCTGGATTTGTTTTACTGATGTGGTGTATCAAAATATATAAGGAATGATAAAATTTTTTAAAACTATATTAAGATAAAAGATGCATTGCCATTTTTCCCCCTCCAAGTATCCCCCTACACATACTTGCTTTTAACATACTTAGCCCATTGTTCTTGCCCCTTTCTTGAGCTCTTTGGAAGTCCTCTTTTTCAAGTATCTTGTTTTTGTGTGGTTTTTTTTGTTTTTTTGTTTTTGGTACCAGGGATCAAACTCAAGTCTTTGCGCTTGCCAGGCAGGCAGCAGAACCACTGAGTTAAATCCCTGGCCCTCAAGTATCTTTATGAGGTGTGATTTCAAAATACCATGCCTGCTACTGCTGAGTTACACACAACAGAACAGCAGGATCTTAAAACATTACAGTGTACCTCATACGTGTAGATATGGAATAGTTTCTCTGCTGTGAGAAAATGAAAGTGCAAATGAGGACCAAAATGTGTAATAGATAATGCGAAACAGGATGAAAAGGTCCAAGTGGGAAGGGGGAGGGGAAGTGGAGAGGGGGAGTAAGGAAGGAATGGAAAGGAAAAGCCATGAGAAATGGAAATGAAGTCTTTGTAAAGAGGGAGGTGTGGAAGGGTTGAAGGGAGGGCAGGGAAATAGGGGGGAAAATAACAACCAGAATATATCATGTACAGATACAATTCCCAGTGATGAATGTCATCATGTTGTATACCTAAAATGTACCATAAACTTAATGAACTAAAAAGAAAACACTAACATTACAGTGTGTCCTCATCCACCTTATTCACCAGATCTGCCAAAGTGCAACTTCTGGGGCTTCCCCAAAGTGAAAATGACCATGAAAGGTAAACATTTTAAAGCACTTCAGGACACTGAGACAGCCACAACAGCACAACTAGATATTCACGGAAAGGGATTTCCATAACTGCCTAGTAAGTGGCAGGAATGATGGGATAATTGTATTTGAAGCAAGGGGAGTATCTTGAGAGGGATTCATGGCAATTTGTCTTTTACTGTCATTAATTTTTCAAATTTAAACATTCATGTATTTTTTGAACACAGCTCATATGTTGTTAAGAATTTCTATTCTAAATTCCTGAAAAGCATTGGTCTAATTTTTCTTCTGTATTTTTTGTCTGAATTTGGTATCAGGGTGATCTGAGCTTTACAAAAGGAATTAAGGGCCAGAGATTTAGCTCACTGGTGCCATCAACTGCCTCAAAAGCACAAGGCCCTGAGTTTGTTCCCCAATAATAATAAAAAAAAAAGAGTTAGGGAGTGCTTCTTCCCATTTTTTTTTTTTTCTGGGAAAGACTGTATAAACTTAGTGCAAAATTTCTTTAAATATTTGGTAAAAAATTTCCAGTGAAGCTATCTTGATCTAGGGATTTTTTCCCTTGGGAACGCTGAAATTACAAATTTAAATTATTTAATGATTACAAGGCAATTCAGGTTGTCCAGGCCATCACAGTTGAGTTTTGCTAATTTGTGGTTATTGAGGAATTGAGAAATTGACCCCTAAATGATCACATTTATGAGCGTAAAGTTGTTCACAGCATTCTCATCTTTCTAATATCTATAGGATTAGTAGTAATATCCCTATTTTATTTCTGATACTGCCTATTTGTGTCTTCTTGATTTGTCATCTCAAATTGAGAAGCTTCTCAATTTTGTTGATTTCCTTGTTGAAGAACAAGTTCTCACTTTAATTGCTTTTCTTTACTGGTTTTATTTTACTTAGCCTTCTGCACTTAACCTTTATAATGTTCTCTTCTATTGCTTGGTCTTACTTTGCAATTCTATTTCTAATTTTTTGAGGTATGAATTTAGATTAATGAATTGAGATCTTTCCTTATTTCTAATATAAACACTTAATACTATGAAGTTCATTTAGAATTCCCTCAGCTGTGTCCCAAGTATACTGAGGTATGTATTATTAATTTCCTTCAAGATTTCCTGTTTAACCAATGAACTATATAACTGTACTGTTTAACTTCCATATGTTTAGAGATTTTCTTGTCTTTCTGTTACTGCTTTCTAGTCTGACACCGCTAGGGTGAGAAAAAAAAACCAAACTTTATATTGTTAATTATTTTAAGTTTCCTATGTTTGTAATATGGCACAGTATGATCTAATGTGGTGAATGTTTCATAGGAATTAACAACAAAAAGTATTCATGTCTATGCTACTGCAATTGGGCAGAGTGGCCTATAAATGCCAATTAGGTCCTAAATAACAGTGGTGTTCGTATCTTTTATAACCTAGCTGATTTTCTGTCTGATTTTTTTCATCAGTTGCTGGCAGGGGTGTTGCAATCTCCAACTATAAGGGTAGATTTTTATGTTTTTTTTCCCTACAATTCTCTCAATTTTTACTTCATGTACTTTAAGGTCATGCCATTTGGTGTGTATACAGTTAGGATTATTATGTCTTCCTGATGAACTGGTTTTCATCATTATGTAATGTTCTTTTCCTCTAGAAATTTTCTTTGCTCTAAACTTTTAATTAACAGATATTAATAGAGCCATTTCAGCTTTTCAAAAAATTAATGTTTGTATTGGATATCTTTTTCCATACTGTTAAAGTCTCTCCTATGTTGTATGGACTTTAGTTTCTTATAACCAGCTTATAGTAAAAGAGACCAGTGTGTTTAAAATATTTACATGTAAGATTGTTAATGATTTGTTAACATTTAACTCTACCATTTTATTATCTGTCTTCTCTGGTTCTCACTCACCTTCTCTTTTTCCTGCTTTTCTGTGCAATGTTTAGGATTTTATCCTCCTTTATCAATAGCATTTTAATGCATTTTTACATGGTATTCACAATAGCTTCTATGAGCATTGTCATATTTATATATGAGTTGCAAAAGTCTATTGGTATCAACATTTTACTACTTACACTTTTTGTTTTACCATCAAATATGATTTATAAATCTCATTAGGGAAAGTGTATTGCATATATCCATCTTGCTGTCTTTTTGCTATTCTTTTTTGCTTGCTAATGCCCCTAATATTCCTTTTATTATAATTTCCATTCTTTTTGAAGAACTTCACTTAACCAGCTTTTAACAGAAGGCATGCTATTGAAAATAGTTTTTAAGTTCCTTTGATCTTAGACCAGTGGTGGTGAACCTATGGCATGCTTGTTATTGTGTTTTTCTTTTAAGAAAAAAGATGTTAATTTGAGTTGTTTGTTGTTTTTGTTTTGTTTTTTCTAAACTAAGACCTAAGTATTCTGGTTTAATCGGAGTGTTGATATTCTGCGATAAATAAGTGGGGCTGCAGTTTGGCATTTGGTCTCTAAAATATTCACCATCACTGTCTTAGACTGTTCTTCTCATTCCTGAGAGACAGTTTTACCAGATATACTATTCACATTTGATAAGATTTTGGTAGGGTATAGTCTTTGTTTTCTTGTTGTTGCTATTTTGAGGACTTAAAGAATATCGTGTTACTTCCCTCTAGAATTCAGTTTTAGAGGACAAATATGCTATACAAACTGATCCCATGTTAAATCAAGAAGGTGACTACCTCCTAAAATATAATGTTCCCAATAGGTAAGGTGCTGCTTCTCTCTGGCTTACTTTGATGTTTTTATTACTTGTCTTTATTTTTCAATAATTTACTTGTGTTTTTTCAGGAACAGATTTCTCTGGGTTTAATCTATTTGGGGTCACAAACTCCACCCTGTCAACTGAATTTAATAAAATGAGTCCCTCCAAAGTGGCTCTTTTAGTTTCCCAATTTCATTTTGGTCTTTTAATAGCTTCCATTTTGTGGCAGGTGTTTTCTATTTTATCTATTGTGTCCAAAGAATTTGTAATTATTTTTCGGTCTTATTCTTTTGTCTTAAAATTTGTGGCCCATGTGAAATATAACCCGGGGCACACACAGAGGCAGGCTCCTGTTTTCCAACTCCCCGGGTTTCCATGAGCCCTGTGTAGGCCAGGCGTCCCAAGAGCTCCTGGGAGGGATTCCCTCCTACCTGCTGCAGCTGTGTGGGGACCACAATGCCCAGGGCCATGGGCTCCACCCTCCCAGGCAGCTTGCTGTCAGGATGCTCGGCCCAATCAGCATAAAATGCAGCCCAGGGACCTGGTGCTACCACAGGCCTAGGCAGAATGAGAACCAGAACAGGAGGTGGCACCCCATCCCTACATAGGACCCAGTCCCCCAAAGGCCAGGCTGAGCATCCCTGAGTCACCTGTTAACTGTCTACCTAGGGAGATTACAGTGCAGTGTCTCGTGCAGCCTCGGACACCTGGGGGACGAAGTCCCCAGTAATACCCTGTACTGCACATCAGGATGCTGGCCTGGGGAGAAGTAAGGATTTCCACAGCAGGCCCTGCACCACCACCCTGGGGCAGAGGAGGGAACACACCAGCCTCTCTCTGTTCTCTTCCATCATCTCTGCCCAGGTACTCAAGCAACTTGATGGTCAGGGCTGACCTGGCAGAGGCCAGACTGAGCCACATGTGTTCGGGGATCTGTTCCATCTTGCTCACATCTGAATTTCAGGTGAATGACTGAACAAAGGAACTCAATGAATCTTCAAACATCCTACGGAGCAGGAGCATGGACCCTACAGATGGCAGAACTGAGGCTCGGTAATATGACTGAGTAACTATACAGCTGACTGTGAGCATGAGCACCAGCCTGCCTCTGGGCAGAGTCTTCCCCTCCACTTAGGTCCAGCCCTGGAGTCTGTACCAGGTCAGGAAGGGAAAAATAAGGAAGGAGGTTCATTTAGCACCAAGGTGGGGAGGCAACCAAAGGTTGATGGGTTCACTTGGTGATGGTGTTTGCATTCATGCTTTTGCCGCTGCTGCTGAGTGTGATGTATGGAGTCTTCCGGACCGCCTGCTTCTACTGGAGCAGAGCCACTCTGCCCAAGGGTGTGTTGCTGGAGCCCATCTTCAGAAGTGCCTCCTTGTCCAGCTTCTTCATCCGCCACTCCATCTTCATCTCGCCCCAGCCCTTCCCAATGGAGGCGGTGGTACAGCTGTTGGAAGGCCTCCTTGGGTGTGAGCTTCCAGCCGGTCCCTTCCACATGCTCCATGTAAAAGTCCGGCTTGTAGCCAGCCTTCTCCTTGAAGTCCTGAGTGAAGCCGCCATACTCTCACTGGCTGTACTGCACTGTTGATGGCCTCTTGTCCTCAGAGCAGTGCAGAGCTGAGGGCGGGACTTGTTGGGGGCCTTTACCGAGCCACCTTCTGAACTGTGGTCTCCAGCAGACCTCTGTTCTGGCACAGGAGCAGGGCAGCAGCCAGCCCTCTGTTCACTGTGGACTCCTCCTCGGGACGACGGTGGCAGAGGCAGAGAAATCCTGCTGCTGCTTCTCCTCACCCAGGCTGACAGCGCTCCAGCCAATGTTCTCTTCTCTATCCGACTGGAAGCCGCCATTGGCTGAGCCTCCTCATGCTGTTCAAAGTCCTTGACCTCCTGCTCCTGCCGGTTTCCAGCCAGCTGTAGGCTGGGATCTCCCGCAAGGTGCAGCACAACTCTGAGGTAGCGTTGAACACGATGGTGCCCCTTCTGCTCGGGATCGCCCCCTCCTCCTCCTCCACCTTCTATCCCGTCACAAAGCTGCTGCAACTGCCGCAGCTGCCGCAGCCCCGTCCCTTTTCCAGCTGCGTCTGCAAATCCACCTCCACCTCGTCCTGCCCAGCACATCCAGCGGCCCTGATGGCAGAGCTCCCCCGTCCTCCTCGTCACTAATGTTCACGGTCTCCACACGGGTGTCACCGACGGCAGGGGCGGGGTCACAGGCTCCTTCTCGGCAACCTCCTCTGCCTCTGGCAGGCGGCACCGACCCTGGCCCCTTGGCCTTGAACCAAAGTCCCCGTCTTGACTCTGGTCCCAAAGAGCAGCAAATCATGCGCCCGCACGACCACCCCCTTTTCCTTCTTCCGGGTTTTCTTCCCCTCCGCTTGGTCTTTTTAAAGGTCACCATCTCCTCCGGCGTCAGGTATCCAGAGGCCAGCCGGGGCCCCCCTGAGCCCGAGGACCGTGCCCGCAACCGCAGCTTGGTCCGGATCTCTCCCAGCTCACGTTCCCGCAGGCCATGGGCTCTGCGGCCCTGCTCCTGCTGGAAGGAGTGCGGCCGCTCACCCTCCAGCCCCTCGTCACACTCGGCTAGAACAAAGCAGGGTTTGTGCTGGGCCAGGTCGCCTGCGCCCTTGTCCTCCGCACTGGGCAGGTAGACGGCTTCTCCGCAGCTCCACGTTCGCCTCTTGCCCGCTCCGTGTCCACCAGATCCTCCTCCTCGGGCAGCACACCTTTTCCGTCAGGGTGAGGATCACGGTCTGCCCCTCTTAGAAGGACTCTGTGGATGCCCCACAGGGAGGCCCCGCAGATGCCAGGCACTGTACGGTCCTGCCGCCTCTGCCCAGTTCCTCCTCCACCGGAGCGCTGACGCCGAACTCTTGCTCCACCTCCTCCAGCAGCTTGGCGCTCTCCTCGGCCAAGTCCTTCTCTTTCGGCAGCAGCGGGCTCCTCTTGATCCAGGGGGCAGGGATCGTCCGGCCCCAGCGTCTTTGTCTTCCCCAACTTCTGGTCCCACAGCTCCTAGCTGTTGCAAGGCCATGGGGTTGATGACAAGAGCGGCCACGGGCCCTCCTCGGTGCCAGCCTCTTTCCTGACAGCACTGACTTCTAGGGGTTACAGCCCCAACTCTGCCGGAGGGTCTCCTCGGTGCTGAGCTAGAGTCGGAGCCGGCAGCGGCCACTGGAGGGCTCCGCCTGGCTGCGCTCCAT